AAAGGAGAACTTACTGCTTGGAGAAATACTCAGGTACCCTACTACCTGGTCAGAAGTACAAACAGGTACCAGGGCTAACATATCTGTATTAACACATCCAGGAATCTAGTGTCCTCAGCAATTGTGACCAAAGACTGGATCAAAATGGCTAGCACATTCTAGTTTGCAAAACCCATCCTATGCAATGGCATGTCTGTAAGCATGGTTAGTATCGGACATCTCTCTGACATATATAAGGGGGACCCCCCAAAAATGGAAGTATCTTCTGGAGGGCAGGCCTCTTATAGTACAGGTTTCCCCTGCTAGATGAGTGTTCTAGGAACCCATCTGTATCAGTGCACCAGTTAGCGTTGTTGTGAGAGGCTGTACTTGGCTTTGATAAATTTTTTTTGAAGACTTTCAGTTCATTTGCCCATTTCATGATTGGTGATTGAGAAGCGCACCTGCCCACACCACACTGAGTGTTTAGCAGTTTTTGACCAAACCCGCATGACCCTATGCCCTACCCTCCCTGTTCATCCAATCTTGCCCAAATTGACTTCTTTTTTTGATTCCCTGGATGAAAAAAAGTCAACAAAGGGAAACGTTTTGCTGTTGTGGAAGAAGTGAAAAAATGGCAGAAGCAGTAAAAGGCACCAAGATTGACAAGTTCAAAAATTGTTTCAAGCAGTGAAAAAAAAAAATCTCAATATGTGTATTGAATCAAATGGAGAGTACTTTGGAGGTAATTGAAATTTAAACATGTGCCCTGGCTGGTGTAGCTCAGTGGATTGAGCATAGGCCTGCGAACCAAAGTGTCACTGGTTCAATTCCCAGTCAGGGCACATGCCTGGGTTGCAGGCCAGGTCCCCAGTAGCGGGGCGCGAGAGGCAACCACACATTGATGTTTCATTCCCTCTTTCTCCTTCCCTACCCATCTTTCTAAAAATAAAGTCTTAAAAAAAAAAAGAAATTTAAACATGTAAGAATACAGAATTTTTAATAAACAAATTCCTGTGTTTTTTTGTAGAATGTTACAGCCAGGAAATGCTGAATCAGACTAGTGTACTGCTAACTTGGATGGAGATGCTAATTAATCCACAGAGGTACATTTTTCCCACACACAGCCCCTGCCTTCAGGCCTGCCTGGAGGAGCACACTTCACATATGGAGGTGGCATTTGCTTCAGAATATTAAGTAGGAAAATTACAGTTGCTGAGTATATAGGGAAGAGTCAACCTTTTTCCCACTGAAATTAGCTGGCAAGAAAAAGAGAACCCATTTCCTCAGTGAGTTACATGTGAACTCAACATACCTTAGTGCTGATAAGAACTTTCCAGAGCAGTGACTCAATGTAATAATTGGTTCCTCCCACGACAATAGGAATTTTGTCTCGGGCAAATATATCTTCAATGTGAATGTTAAGAAAGATATCACAATATTTAAGATCAGAAGAGAATCCTGACTTATTCAGAAAGGAAGCTATAAGCAAGAAACTACATTCACTTGTCTGAAGAACAGAGGAAAAAGGGTAGAAACCAAGATGAACTGATACTAGTGGTTTTCACTGTTTCCCATGAGTTCTCAGAATCATTTCCATCAATTCCAGAGGGACTTGCATAAACCAGAGACAGATAAATGATTGCCATTATTTCCAGTTCTAGAACTTTCTATTCCTAGGCCTTGATGCTAAAATTCAATGTTTGCTTGGTATCCCAAATCAGCTTACTAAGCACAAACCCAAGGACTCTTCAAAGAATCAAGTATCAGCTGCTCAGGAAGCCACCAAGGTTATGTTCATTGTCTGACTTTGCTTTCTAAGGCAAAACACAAGCTAGGTCTCTAAGCTGTGGTTCTTAAGACTCAGTCTTCACCATTATGTGGTAGTAGTGCAGATTTCAGCCACTTGAGACTCCACTAGATAAACTGAGAAGCATTGGTTCCAAAGACAAATAGATTTCAATTACCAGCTCCAATTCTTGGGCATGTTATTCAACCTGTCTGAGCTTCAGTTTTCTCACCTGTAAATCTTCACGAGTTCTTACGAGCATTAAATGTGACAACGCAAATAAATCCCAACCACAATGCCAGAAATATTTTTTCAATTGAGTAAGCATTCAATTTACACTCTTTAGTCACTCGTTTTTGTATCTCTGCTACTTTGAATAATTCTTCTCTTGAGAACTCTTTGAACAAATAATTATCTGCTTTAAGAAGGGCTTTGCTTCTGAGGGTAACTGATAAAAAGAGACTTTCAACCTTACAAAGACTCATTTACACACTTCTTCCCCTTGCTGGCCAGTCTGTGGACACCAACATAAGATGACCTCCTTTCTATCAGCACACTAACCTCGAAGAAGCTGGAGTGGAGTAGGAAAATGTTAGCAATCAAGGATCACATAGAAGAAAGATGATGGTTTTGGTTGGTTGTGTGTGTGTGTTTAAGACAAACAAAGTCCTGGCCAGGAAGCTCAGCTGGTTAGTGCGCCGTCCACATGCGAAAGTCACAGGTTTGATCCCCGGTCAGGATGCAAACAAGAAGCAAACAGTGAATGCACAAACAAGTGGAAATACAAACTGATGTTTCTCTTTCTCTCCCCCTTCCTCTCTCCCCCTCATCCTCTCTTTAAAATCAGTAAATAAAAAAATAAAAGAGAAACAAATTCTCTATTTCCCTCAAGTGCAGGAAGTACACAATTACATAGTAGTTGTAATAAAATTTCAAATGTATAATTAACAAAAGGAAAGAGAACAAAAATAATAAAAACGCAAGGTTAAAAATGGTGGGGTACCAGAAGTGGGGGAAGAGTGACAAAGAGGGAAATGGGTAGGACATACTGAGGGTAAAGTTTAACTTATCTGCACAAGCAATGAAACAACTGTGATCCTGGGCAAAACCTTTCTTCTCTCTGGCCTTCAGTATCTAGTACCTCTATCTGTCTAATCAAGAAGACTGATTATCTTAAGGTAGTTTCAGTTTTGCCTTTCTAATCGCAAATTCTTCCCTAAATTCATTAAATCACCAATCCTGTAAGTGATCAGATTAAATCATCCCCTATTGTTGCTGCCCTCTGAAAATTTTAATTAGCTCTCCATTTTCTATAAATTCTTTCTGAACTGAATTGTCCTATAGCAACACTGTATTGTGATGATACATTTTATTTTGCAAAGGGCCTTCATATACATTATCTCATCTAACACAACTTCCTTGTAAAGCAGGTCAGGCAAGAATTATTATCCACATTTAAATCTCTGCTCATTTGATAGGCAAAAAAATATTATCTCATTATTTTGATTTGCATGGCCCTGATTCACAACAGCAAGGATATGTCATGTTTATCACCATTTATATTTCTTCCTTTGTGAATTACTACTTGTTACTTTTAGTTTTTGTATTGATTCGTAAGTTCTTTATATATTAAGTATATTAACAATTTGCCTTTCCTATATTACAAATATTTTCCCCCAGGTTTGCAGTCTGTTTTAAATTTTGTTTATAGTGGGCTGCTTCACATTTTAATTTAAAATATACGTACATATACATATACACATATACAATTACATGTGTAAATTATGAAGCCCAGTAATAAAACAAATACTCGTGAACCCAATGTAAGGAAAGGATTATTATTAATCCCTTTCAAGTTCCTGTGTTCATTCCCATCTCAATCCCCAACATGCCCTCTCTCTGAGGGAACAATTATCTTGTGTTATTTTGGGTGTTTTTCATCCATCATTCCCTTGCTTTCCTTTACATTATTACTTAATGTATCTATATCCCTAAAGAATATATGCATATATAGAATATGTAATCACTATATAACAGTATATTATTTAGTTGTGCTTGTTTTAATCTTTATAATAAGTGGTATGAACATGTATTTATCCTATAAATTCCTCAGATTTTGTTGTTTCTGAGATTCTTCCACATTGATTGATGCATATAGCTGTAATTTGTCATTTTTACTGTTGAAAAAGTAAACTGATATGAACACAGCAAATTTTGTATGTTCTTCAGTAAACAGGAATTTCAGTGTTTATATCTTTGCTGCTAAGAGGAATGCAGTAATAGAATGAGATCCACCACCTATCTCTTGATATAGTTGTGGCAAGGTTTCTCTAAGCTAGATTCCTAGAAGTTCTGGTTGATGTACAAATAATAGTCTTAATTCTTACATATTCAATTTTAGCTTTTTTCTTTTAAAAAAATTACCGTTGTCCTGGCTGGTGTGGCTCAGTGGATCAAGCACTGGCCTGCAAACCTAAAGGTCACTGGTTCGATTCTGATCCTGTCAGGGCATGTGCCTGGGTTGCAGGCCAGGTCCCTAGCTGGGGGTGTTCTCAAGGCAACCACACATTGATGTTTTTCTCCCTCCTTTTCCCCTCTCTAAAGAATAAATAAATAAAATCTTTTTAAAAATTAGTTATGCACATAGATGGTGGTAATGGCTACACAACAATGTGAATTTTTTGTTTAAAGAGGAAGTTTATTTAGAAAGTTACAGAGGTAGCAGAAGAGTGAGCCAGCTGGGCTGCGTAGGTAGGCTCAGGAAACAAGTTACAGAAGCAAAAGAGCTCTTGAGCTTCAGAGAGGGAAAGGCAAAGGGAATGTGCACCTGGGGAGAAGCAGAGGGTGAAGGGAAAGGCACAGGCCGGATCCCAAGGACAGCATACCTCTAATGTGAATGTATTTAATACCACTGCACTTGTCCACTTAGAAATGGTTAAGATGGTAAATTTATGCTGTGTACTTTAATATATTAAAAAAGAAAAAACTTAACTTAAAAATTTCATTAAAAATTTATAAAATATCTACAAAGCCAGTCCCTACTCTAAAACCACATTAACCACATTAACTACTCAATTACATATTATCCCATTGGTCTTACAGTTTCATTAAAAATACATATATTAACTCTGAAATCTGAATTTATGTCATATATGAGAATCTGATTTTTACCTAAAACAATTAACTGTTCCCCAGAATAATTAGTAACTACTGAATTATTTGTTTTTTTTTTTTAAATATGGAGTACTTCACAAATTTGCATGTCATCCTTGCGCAGGGGCCATGCTAGTCTTCTCTGTGTCATTCTAATTTTAGTACATGTGCTGCTGAAGCGAGCACTCTTCACTGTTTTCAAGTGCAATGTTAATAAGCTAAATATTGGGTTGGCCAAAAAGTCCGTTACATTTTCTCCATATGATGGCTCCAGTAGTGCTTAGCTGTCTTTAACTTCATTCAAAACAATTTTGTTAGATTGTATTGTGACAGCTGTCATATTAGCATGCCTTTAAAAAAACTTACCAAAATTGGTGAATTTCTGTGCAGCCATTTTAATATTTAAGATGCAAATATGCAACATTTGTGGTGTATTATGCTTTATTATTTCAAGAAAGGTAGAAACACAAAAAAAGATTTGTGCACTATACGGAGAAGGTGTTGTGACTTAACCGAGTATGTCAAAAGTAGTTTGCAAAGTTTCTTGGTACTACCGACATTTTTGCCCAATTCCTTGCTGTGGGGCTGTCTTATGCATTGAAAGATGTTTAGCAGCACCCCTGGCCTCTACCACCTAGAAGCTAACAGCAGGAGATACCCAGCAAACTCAAAATATCCAAATCAATAAAGTTATTGGTGAAAATGAAAAATGTGTTTTTCTTTTACGGAAAAAAATACATGGACTTTATAGCCAACCAATTTTTATGTGCATTTGAATTTGTAGCTGAATTTTCTATTCTGTGCCGTAAGTTTGTGCAGTATATAATTTTCTTGCTGTTATAATTATGAATTTTCAATGTTTTAATATCTGGCAGTCCAGATTACTGTAGGCAGTCTCCCTTATATTATTCTCTTTTGAAAAATTTGTAGTGTTACTTATAACAACTTTTTTCCAATCTCGCCCAACCCCAGCAATCCCTTTGAAATTCTAACTGGTACTCCATTATATTTATAAATTAATTAAGGGTGGAAAACTGAAACTCAGTGGGGTGAATACCTTACTCAATAAAATTCACATGGTCAAAAGAAGTGGCTCTAAGACTAAAACAGTTCTTCTGGTTCCTAAATCAATGTTCTCTCCACTAAAACTGTGCTTTCCAAATCTTTGATTATGAATCGCCTGAGACTCTTGTAAAATGCAGAACTGATTCATTAGATATGAAATGAGGCCCAAATTCAGCATTTCTAACAAGCTCCCAAGGGATGCTGGTGCTGTAGTCTGAGGACAAGACTTTGAGAAGCAGGAACACTGTATCCGTCAATCCACCTAGTGCTGATGGGACACTGCCTATTGGTAGGTCTTGTATGTCCCTGCCTAGACGAAACTCTCACTAGAAAGAAAACTTCTTTCTTGGCTTCAGCTGCCTTGCCATCCATCAAACCTAGCTGCTGTCTTTCCGAAGGATATCAGAGCAGTTGCCTTGTTTCTGAAGTCCACCACTGTGTAATTTGTCACAAGAGGATCCACAAAGCTGATCATGTGGTGCTGGCAGAGTCTCTGCTCTTGGGAAGAAACCTTGTTGGTGATAATGTCTAGGCCTTCATAAACCTAAAGGAAAGAAAACAGGAATGAGAAAGTCATCAGCCTCCATTAAAACACCTAATGGGTGAAAATGGTGATCTGTTCCTCCCTCCAGCCAAACACCTGACTGACTCAAAGCACCAGAGTAGCTGTGATGTAACCAGAGCATAGCCAGATCCACAAAACCAAAGACAAAGGAAGCAGAATAACACAGAACATTGGCTTTCTTGTGAGATACAGGTTTTACCCACTATCCCAAAGTACGACATGCCTACGAAACTTCGTACGAAAAAATGGTGTAAAGTGAAGAAGCAATTATCATTAATTTATATGAGAAAAATTTCGATATTTCCAAGACCCCAAATTTAATGCATTACAATGTTTTTTATTTTGTTCACCATGATTGAAAGAGTCAATTACATCTAGTTTTACACTAAGCATAACACCCTTAACAATCTCTACTAGGCTTTGCTGATACCTTAGATACACCTTGGATGTATGTAATGGATGAACAAAACACACTGAGATAAATCACAGATGCTCACAGACAGTTCAAAGCTATGATGGCTTGATTTTGAGATAGATGACAGGTGTAGTTTCCAGGGAAGGAGGCTTTACAACAAACAACTTGCTGCAAAACAAATGCTGAATGTTATTTTTGCCTTTTTTTGTAAAAGTAAAAATTGTGGATTTCTTTCAGTCCGCAAATTTCCTCACTACAAAAGAAGAGCATTTATTTTTATGAAACCTTTCATAAAACGAAATGGTGTAAGTCAAAAGAGCAATTACAATTAATTTAAAATCTTTTTCAGATTTCCTTTGGTTAGCAAAAATCAGTACTAATGTTGATCTTACATAAAAGTGAAATGGTTTTCATGCAAACTTTTGAAAAGGAGGGATACCTGGAGTGGCTATTAGCTCAGACTTAAGAGATTTAAAGGGCATGTAAATCAATGCGCAAATGAAAACTAATTCTGCAGGATTAACCAGAGGTTCTATGGCCTGAACTTTAACTATTTAAAAATAGACAGGGTGTTTTATTTATTCTACTTATCACAAGTCTCCAGAAAGGTAACATTTTGCATTGCTCATAGTTCTACTTCAAATGCTTATATATCATGGGATTTAAGTGGCTCTGAAAGATTTTTAGATTGACTAACTTTGTGAATAAGTGGCCTATGTACAAAAATGTATATAAAATACAAAGTGAACTATACTTTAATAATGAATAAATAAAACACACGTATACACTTTGAAGTCAGACCTGTAATACTGCTGTTCCCTCGTGGAAGCATTGCAACGTATCCAAATTACTGCCTCAGGGGGTCAGCCCATACAGTCTAAATACTCAAAGGCAATATCCTCTCTGTAAACTCTTAGTCTGCCAATTCAACTAGAAAGTTCAAGTGTAGTTTTTCTAAATGCAAGGTCTCAGATAGAGAACAGATCTGAAAATACTAGTTTGAAAAGTAGGGATGAATGCTTTGAGATTAAATGTTCTCTCTGTAATCACTGATCTACAGGGAGCATTGAGTGAACAAATAATAAGTTCCATAGAGGCCACAAAGATGTTAAAAGCATTTTTAATCTCACATTTCCCTTTACTTATATGGGTGTCAAATAAGCACAGTACAGTATAATGGTTAGGAGGAAGAAACCTGGCGCCAGGCTGCCTCAGATCAATTCCTGGCCCTACCACGTACTAGTTATTTGTACTTGGAGTAGTCACGGTTACTAATCCCTCTGCCACTCAATCCCTTATCAGTAAAATAAGGCTGATAATATCCATCTCATAGGGTTGTTGTGTGGATTAAATAAATTAATACATGTAAAGCACTTAGTTTTTGCTTGGCACATCATAAATGCTACATTAAGAGTCATTATATAATTTCAACCAATACCTCTATTACTACTATCACAACAACACAGGGAGAAAGAGAAGCAGTTTTAGTATCACTATTTATCACTCTGAAGCCTCTGTGCTCTTTGCTACTGAGGTTATTTACCCAACAAGGACATAGCTATCTTCAAGTAAAAGAAAACGGTACACAGAAAAAAATACACGTCATAGGGAAAGAACTAGCTCTGCCTTTAACTCATTAATCTGTGCGTGACAAGACTTGCATTCTTACACTTGAATATTGATGGAATCTGAAATCATAGTGTTCTTTTCTGTGTATCTTGAACAAGACTTCCTTCTGATGTTATCGAGTGCCACAGGGTATACTGTATACTGGGGTCTTCTGTGCAAATTAAAACCACCAAAACGGGGGAAGAAATAACTGTGTGTTCCTCTCCCTCTTTTCCTACAGCCTTTAGTTGGCTCTGTTGTAGCTTAAGAGTTCCAAAAGATCCAATGTTAAAGAATTTACATAGTGACAATTCCATTTTGCCTGATTTTTAAAATTAACTTATTTGATTTTTTTAAAGAGATAGGGAGAAAGAAACATCAATTGTTGTTCCATTTACTTATGCATTCGTTCGTTGTTTCTTTTTTTAAATTATATTTTATTGATTATTCTATTACAGTTGTCCCAATTTTTCTTCCTTTGCCCCCCTCCACTCAGCATCCCCCAACGACGAGTCATGCGTATAAGCTCTTTGGCTGCTCCATTTCCTATACTGTACTTTACACCCCTTGGCTGCTCTGTAACTTCCTATTTGTACTTCTTAATCCCCTCACCTCTACACCCACTCCCTCTCACCCCCCTCCCATCTGGCAACCATCAAAGTACTCTCTGTTTCCATGATTCTGTCTCATTTCTTCTTGTTTGCTTAGCTTGTTTTCATATTCAATTGCCGACAGATATGTACTTATTACCATTTTATTGTTCATGGTTTTGATCTCCTTTTTCTTAATTAAATAAGTCCCTTTAACATTTTATATAATAATAGTTTGGTGATGATGAACTCCTTTAGTTTTTTCTTGTCCTATGGGAACTCCCCTGTAGATAACTAACTTTTTTCTGCTGCTTTAAGATTCTCTTTATCTTTAACCTTTGGCATTTTAATTATGATGTGTCTTAGAGTGGGCCTCTTTGTATCCATCTTGTTTGGGACTCTGTGTGCTTCCTGGACTTGCATGTCTATTTCCTTTGCCAAATTAGTGAAGTTTTCTTTCATTATTTTTTCAAACAGATTTACAATTTCTTGCTCTTTCTCTTCTCCTTCTGGCACCTCTATGATGCAAATGTTGGAACATTTGAAGTTGTTCCAGGGGCTGCTTACACTACCTTCATTTTATTGGATTTTTTTTCTTGTTCTGATTGGTTGTTTTTTGCTTCCTTATGTTCGAAATCATTGATCTGAATCTTGGCTTCATCCACTCTACTGTTGTTTCCATGAAATTGTTCATTTCAATTAGTGTAACTTTCATTTCTGACTGGATCTTTTTTAGGCTGCTGAGGTCCTCACTAAGTTCCCTATGCATCCTTATAACCAGTGTTTTGAACTCTGCATCTGACGGATTTGCTTTTCTCCCTTATGATCTGTTCTTTCATTTGGGCCATGTTTCTTTGTCTCTTCATTTTGGCAGCCTCCCTGTGTTTGTTTCTATGTATTAGGTAGAGCTGCTATGACTCCCTGTCTTGGTAGTGTGGCCTAA